AATTTAAATGGCAAAGTTGTAGGTAATAAAAAGATCTACAACTTTTCTATTTACAATTTTTTCACATAACCTCAAAATTTATGTGAAAAATTCAAATAACCAAGTTTTTGGTTTTTTATTTTTATCTTTTTCAAAAAAAAAATTTTTTCAACGAAATTTGGTGAAAACTTGCCTTTTTATGTCCCAAATACACTGTAATTTATTTGATTTGAAATATTTATTATTTCACCTTATTTTGACTTAATATCAAAAAAACACCCTAATTTTCAATCGAAAATTCTCGCGTCAAAATATCAGCTTTTTTCAAAAAGTCGGTGTGCTTTTTGTTCGTTGAAATCTCTACTTTCTGATGGTGTAAAAAAAATATACATTACTATGGTAAATGTTCTCAGAAAATGCAAAAAATATTATAATGAAAAACGAAAAAAACTCGAATTCGAAAATTTATTTTAATCATTATGTACAATTTCATCAAAAAAATGTGATTGTTGCAATTTTTTTTAGTTAAAAAGTTTATTTATTAAATTCTAATAACATTTATGTCAGAAAATCTCATAAAATATAAAAATACATGTAAATCATACTATTGAATTTAGATACTTCATTCTGATTACGTTATTCATTATAATATTTTTTGTATTTGCTGAGAACATTTACCATAGTAATGTATATTTTTTTTACACCATCAGAAAGTAGAGAGTTTATCGAACAAAAAGCACACAGACTTTTTGAAAAAAGCTGATATTTTGACGCGAGAATTTTCGATTGAAAATTAGGGTGCTTTTTTGATATTAAGTCAAAATAAGGCGAAATAATAAATATTTCAAATCAAATAAATTACAGTGTATTTGGGACATAAAAAGGTAAGTTTTCACCAAATTTCGTGGAAAAAATTTTTTTTTTTAAAAAGATAAAAATAAAAAACCAAAAACTTGGTTATTTGAATTTTTCACATAAATTTTGGGGTTATGTGAAAAAATTGTAAATACAAAAGTTGTAGATCTTTTTATTACCTATAACTTTGCTATTTAACTTTTTCCCATAGGACTTGTATTTTTGCCGGAAATCGAGATAAACCATTTTTTATCCTTAAAGCCCCCCCCCCTCCCACTTCCCGAAGTCAGATCGCCCGTAATTTATTTTTTCTTTCTTTTTTATTATATTCTCCTCCTTTTCCAATGGGTTTCATCCTACTGTAATTTTTTTTTGTTTCAAAAATTATCGACCCTGGTCTAATAGACTAGTAAATCTTCAACGTTTTTGCCTACTATGCAGTGTTATAAAATTACAATAATTAGTACCTATTTAATAATAATATAAGAAAGTATATTATGTATCAAGTTTGATAAACGCCATTTTATACACGAATTTAATTTAAGTTAATGAGAAAAGTTTATAAACGAGGTGCATACTATACTTTTTCTACGACAAATACTTATTATTATCTTAAAATGATTTAAATCAAAAATTTGTATAAAGCGCCATCTATGAAACAACAGGGGAAACTGTCAAATGTCACATTTTTACATTTTATAAACACAATTATAAAGATTATAAATCGAAATGTATCTTGAAAATTGACAGTTTTTCACAGTGAAAGTAAAGAAAATGTTTTATGAGGACTTTACAGTAGAGTCCGTGTCCGAATTTAAGTTATAGTTTACTTCCGGCGAAATTAAAAGGTCAGTACAATGTTCATATAAACTTTTCAAATAATGGCGTTGAGAAACTATTTAATATTTTTCTATTTTTGCATTGAGATAATAAAATAATTTCACATTTAGTATTATTTTACAAGAAAGGCACTTTATTTTAATGATTGTATGACATTTGACAACTGTCAACTAACTTAAAACTAACTTCAGCCCGTGACTAAAAACCTGTTGCTAACTTCAGCCCGTGACTAAAGCGCCGTAAAGCCACAACTTGTCAATGTGTATTAAAAAGGTCGCTTAGTGTCATGGAAGTAGAAAAAGTATATCATGTATCAAGTTTGTTAAGCGTCATTTTAGCCAAGAATTTAATTTAGGCACGAACGAGCTTGCGAGCGAGTACTTAATTAAATGAGTGCCTAGAAAACGAGTTGCATACTATACTTTTTCAACGACAAAAAATGATAAATATTTGTATAAAGCGACATCTTTAAGAATATAAAGTAACATTTTTGACGTAATTTTCGACATTAACATAGTCCGTTTGATTATTATTATTATTAAATATTATCGCAAAGTATTAAAAATTCTTACACGGGAAGGGTACAAAAAGTGATAGTTGTAATTATTGGAATTCCCGATAGAATTTCTAACTTGGGAATCATTTTTTTTATATATAAAGGATAAGAGAATGTTTTATGGGCACTATACGCAAATTTTTTAACGTTTAATTTGTTAAATCTAGTTAACTGCATATTGGCGTCAAGGTTTCTTGATAGTTTTATTTAATATTTTTTTTTAAAGGAGTATAAAAAATATGTATTAAAACATCTAAAACGAGAGATTGAAATCATTCGATCATCTACTGCTTATGATTGACAAAATAATTAAAACGTTAAGTTGAAGACGTAATGAGCTTGGCGGTGGTGTAGGCATGAAATACCTGATCCGCATTACCGGCTCACTTTAAACATTAACTAATAAAACACCATGAGCCATTCGGATAGAGGCGGCGGCGGCGGCGGCGCAAATATCTCCGCTTCCGACGTCTACGACGTGGAGCAGAAAATGGTAGACGTCAGCTGTCACTTTTGAACACGTCAGATTTGTCTGACAGCGCCGAGGCGTCCATCTCTCTCTTGCTCTCCCTTTAACTCTCGGCTATCACTTGTTCACGTCAAACCGAAGTGTTTAAAGATTTATTCGGCGCAGTCAATCATTTTTCATGAACACGACTCGGGTCTCCAAGAATACGACGAGCACCGACTGAGTGACACTGATGACCGGATCACCGCTGCAAAGGTGTCATAATAACACCACTTTTTATCGCAATTCCTTCTATAAAGACATTTAGTGAACAGAAGAAGACATCGCAAAACATTACTACTTCCAAATTAATAAATACCAAAATAGGGTTCATTTTTTATAATGTGTTAGAATAACATTTTCTTTATCAGAAAGTCAAATTACACACATTAGAATAACAAAAAGATAAGCATCCAAGCTATTCGATTCACCACCTTTCAATCTACCCTATTTAATATAATACATTCTTCTATAAAAGGGAGCTGACCATGTTTTTGACCCTGCTTATCTGAAATATTCTTTCAATAGAATAGAATGTATAATTTTTTGTAAAGTTTAACATTATTTAAGGACGAATTTATATAAAAGAAGACAAAAAGTCATACAATCTTTTAAATTGAAAACAAACATTGATCGAGTTATAACTATACTTAAAGGTATCAAAGATAGACATCTTGTTAATTTTTAAAGAATTGATAACTCTACCCAAGTCATTCGAATGGTAGAAACAGGTAGAAGGTAAGTTCTTATAAGAATTTATCAAAACAGACTTTTCCCAAATGATATTAGATTTCATAAAATTTTTTAATTTTAACCAGATTTTAAGTTAATCCAGGTTCACATAACCAACTGTATCTGTTAACTTATTGAATAAGTAGTGTATAATTATAACATTTTGTAGATTCAATAACAAAATCCTATGTCTATAATTCAACCATGATTCTTGTAATTTTCAAAAAGTACCTTTTTATAGATCCAGTAACAAAAGTATTTGTTGGAAATTGGGAACTTAGGTGAAAAAAATTTTGATAAGAAATGTTGCTTTATTGATCAATTTCCTAAACACAACAGTGATGGCATCTTTTTTCGGATACTTCGAACACTCACATGTACTTTTTCAACGAAATAATCTGTGAAACATTAACAATATAATCTGTAATCTTTCAAATTAAATGCTTACAAAATTGCATATTACCTATACAAAACTTTCGTTAAAATATTTTCCTTGATTTAAGTAGGTATTATCACGATAATGATGATGCTCCTCCATAAATACTGTAAATAAATAAGGCAACTATAAATTGTTGATTTGGATCTTTTAACAAGATAACAATTGAGGAGGTCTATTCCAAAACTCGGCTTATCCACTTTTTAATAAAAATGAGTTAGTGGTGTCTGTACATTTAACATGTATCCCCCTATACCCTGAAAAGTTCATAATATTCTAAAATTAACCTAATTCATTTACAAGTTGACTATAGTTCCAAAACTTTCCTTATCTATTTATCCTTTTTAATCAAGGTATATAAATGTTTTACTTATGCCTTTATATTTCGTTTTAAGTATTGTGTTTGCCTGATATGCGTTAGTACTCACGTGTTTTTGACATTTTACTCGAAAACAACTAATATGGATAAGCCGAGTTTTGGAATGATAAGTATTTTCTTATAAGAATGTATCAGAAGTGTCAAAAAATTTCATATCCAATGTACTTAAATCAGTTGTGTAAGCATAGTTTGGACATTCAGAATAACTATTTTTTACTTTTAAACTATTGATGAACTGTTTCTTACTCCTTCAAATATATTTAGATGTTTTGGCAAATGCGGCATGGATAAATAGAGTTCAAATGTGTTAAGAAAACAACAAGTTACCCAACAATGATGATGATAAGAATATATTCTATATTCTAGGGTATATCACTATAAATGGATTTTTTGAAATGAAAAGCACTCTCACTTATTAAATCGTTGATTGGGAAAGGAATGTTGTTAATTTAGGCGTTTGCGATATTTTTTGTAGGGTGGCGTACGCAGACTGTATCCGATGAGTATCCGAGGTGGTAGTAGCGATATTCGGGTGTCGGATGCGTCGTTCGTTCGTTCGTTCGGCGGGAGAATGGTAGTTGTGGTTGGGGCCGGCAGGGCGCGCGCGCTGTACCCGCCGCAGTCAGCCATTGGCGGAGAGGCGTGCCTTCGTCGTGACAGATCATTCATCTGAGCCCCACTCTGCCCCTTTTCGACCGAGTGATTGACAGTTGGCAGACGACTGCGGAACGCGCAGGAACTCCGCACGCGCTCGGACACGGCAGCTCGGCGCACCGACACCTTCAACGACGACAAATACAATACGACACCGACCCCATGAACGCGGCGCCGCCACCACGTGGCCAGTGACAGTGCAGTGAGCTCCGTTTTTATTATTATTTATTATATTGCTTCGGAAAAGTGCGACCGTTTTCGATTAAGGTGAAGTGCGCGCCAGTGACTATTTACCCTAGTGCGGAAAGGGTGCAGTACATGGCTCAGCCACGGGTACGCTATAACCACCAGCTCCATGAAGCACAAGCAGAACGCGACACGTTGGATTTACATCGCGAACTCGTCACAACAATCCGCGAGCGCGCTGATTGATGGACGCACCACTTGTCACCATCAATCAGCCGTTAATGAATGGACCCGCACAAGGACATACATCATTCACGCCTAGTGACCCCGGTCTAGCTCTTACATTCTTTCAATCTCATTCCCAAACTCCATCGCATCAACCCTCATCAATGCTTTAAATTGACAACCACCAAGTGCTAACTCATGGATTGTGCAATTGCACATACATGCTTGCTACATCACCATATCACCTCTTACTGAATTCTACGCGCCCTGCTGTCTACCTGCTCCCATAATTATAGGATATAAAATGCCCCGGCCATATCATTTAAGCAATTTTAAAATTACGCCACTTACTATCCAACGCGGAGATTTATCGGACCAGGACCACACAATTATACCACCACACATTCACCACCAACAAAATATCGCGCGCTTTCTTCAACATTTGGTGATTAAAACCGACGCGTAATAACAGTTCTTCTCAAGAAACTTTTAGTTTCTCTTAAAACCGATGAATAGGCTAAATTTTACCCCGTCAGATACCTTACCTGATTATACCCCATAAAATGCCACTCAAAGAGCGAAAAAAACAAGTCACCGTGATTTCGAAATATCATCTTGGAATGCTTCGAGGAATGCATCCACTAAAAATACAAAGTTGACCGTCAGCCGTCGCTGCTTATTCCTCATTAAATTCACCGGGTATCTTTTTTAAATTAATGGACGTGTGTAAGAGAATTTTAATTACAATTTGCTCGGCCATACATATTCATGAGAAAAACTGCAATGATATCAATTCGGAATCAAAATTTAAATCGGCGCCCGTAAAATCTTTATTACGGAAGAGACTGCCTAAGGAGACGCTCTAAAATCATTTTCCACACTAGAAGAGGACGAAAAAAAGTTGGATGTATAAAACGCCGTGTTTAGTACTCCATGAAATTTTACGACAACAAGCATTCCAACAAGTTCCTACTTTAGAAACCTCTAAAACGTAAACTTCGTTTCATAATAAAATAATTTTAATGCAGCGTGTCTTTTAAGTCTTCCGTCGCGAACAATTTCATTACATCATCATTGCCACAAAAGATCGGTTTTAGAATTTGATTAAACACCCGTCGGTCCGGTTATTTATTTATATTATGTACACAAACAACAACTATTATTTTAGAAAAACTTAAATAAATTTAATGGAAAATATTTTTATTTGTATTTACTTACAAATTAAATTCGTTAATCCCCTAGGTAGTAGTTAGTAGTAACTTACAATAAACTTTTTATCTTATCTAGAAAAAACACGTCGAAAATTTTGGATAACGCGTTAAAAAACGATTTTATTATAACGGTAGAAATGAAATTAATAAATAAATAAATATATGTAGCCGTCGCAAAAACCTCGCCTAGCCTTAAACAAACTCAAATAATATTGTGATGGATTGTGGAAACGGTCGCTATTTTATTATGTTTTAAACTCCCCCTCGGCAATTTAATACGAAATTTAATTCACTAACTCAAACTCGTATGTTCCATTATGGGTCTCATTTTACGACTGGTGTAAAAAGTTTTAGTGCTCTTGATGTGTCCTTTCGGGATTTTGTGTGTTCAAAAGTGTTCAACGTGTCGCCTTCTGACTGTTTTCTGACCATTCAAAAAGACTCATTTTATCAACAATCATTTTTTAGGTGTAACACATTAAAAATAAAGCCGAAATTTAGTGAACAATTTTTCGTCATGGATGTGCTACAGAAAAATGTAAATATTGACCACCTATTATTAGTAATATTATTATTTTGTAGTAACTTGTATGAAAACTTTTTAGTAGCAGTAGATTTTCTCAAAAAATTAAATAAAGTTTTACACGATAAAAAAATGCCAAAACATAAGCATATTTTCTTTGGACTCTTTAGAATATATTAAAATATTAAAGATAATTAAAAATGTATAGAAAAGGTGTTAGATGTAACCAATATCCACCCAAACTCATAATAAATCATTTTGACAAATTTTGCCACTTTTAAAACTAAAATTTATTAATGCAAATGAAATATAAAAACGACGGTGTTATAAATATCTAGATTTATTCGTTTTTATAAAAATACAACAAAAAGCCTATATTTAGAACGTACATGCATAAAGAATATTTTATTAAAAATTGCTTTATATTTGCATATACATATTAATTTAAGTGTTCGTTTTTGTATACCTATCTGAAAGTAAAAAATTTAAATTAAATTCAAGAAAATAACCGGAATATATCTGTTCATTTGCATAAAAATTTAATTTGTTTTATACCAGGATGCTTTTAAGAATTGAAAATAAGTTCAAAATTTATTTAATTTCGATAAAAACTGAAGCACTACAGTGGCTATTTTCATAAACATATAACTGTTGTATGTTGTATGAATAATTTAGTTTATTGTTCATAAACTATTTTAGCGGCTATAAAACCAAATCAATTACACTTACAAATACAGGTACAATCGCAAATTAGTTTTACAACCCATAATAATTTGATAACGTAAAATTAATACAGCCATTAATCTTAATTACTAGTGTTTAATTTAATTTTAAAAACTTGCAAAAACTCCTTAAGGTCCATTTAACTAATTGCCAATTGTTATGTTACTTTAAAATAATTGCGCAAATGCTTTTACACAAATCAACAAACTTTTCCAAAAAGATAAACAAATTGTTTTGTCAGTAGGTATTTCAATTATTATTACTTTCGAAAATCCATATTCATAAAAGAAATCATGTAATAATTTTATTTGAATCTCTCGAGGCATTAACATTTTATTTTTAATAAATTTCAATTTTAATTAATTCTTTATGATAGGACAAGTTTTTAATGTTTATTGTACCGTGTGTTGTGAAATTTACATACATGTAGTTTTGCCAATAAACAATTGGAATAATTTTAGAAATAATTTATCGCTTATGTCTGTAATAAATCAAAATTTTTTAAAAATTCTTTGCCCGATATTATATTAGATATTTATAAACATTTTCAATAGTCAATTCTTCCGAAGGAAGTTATTGAAATGTAGCGATAAACTTTGACTGTGCGATTATTTTTGAAATCGTTAGCAAATTTATAATGATTATGTAGTACACCTAAAACTCATACTATCATATCTTTAAATTTTTTTTTTTTTAAATTAATTTTTTTTTCTTCTTTCAGTATGACGATGGGATCCATTCGGGATATATGGACAGTGGTGCCAGTGCCGGTCTCTATGAACCGCATGTGGCCCATCGACAGGGGCTTCAGGGCCTCCACCATTCACCCCATTTAAACCATGCCATGCATCCGTACCATGCCAACCATGTGAACGCGACGGCGAACCATGTCATGGGTGGTGCGGTCCCAGATGTGGGCAAAAGGGACAAGGACGCTATCTATGGGTAAGTCAAGTTTAAATGACAAAAAAGTGGGTATATGCTACCCAAAAGTGCTCAAAACAGATCTAAATATTGCATAAAAACTAAATTGGTTATGCCGAATTAACAAAATAATACCGAACAAAAAATAAATTAGTTTTAAAACGGCGACCTTAACTTTGATATCCTGCTAATTTACAAATGGATTATCACATGGAATTTTAATTAGGTATCGATTTAAATTAAAGTTTGTGGGTTTAATTTCGTATGGAATGAAATTATTTCTGAGAAAAAAAGATCTTAAATCAGTGTTGTCTGGTCGATATTTGCATTTATACACTCACAGGCAAAATAATCGATCCACACAAAATTTCGATGAATTTCAATCGCTCATATTTTAAAAAATTACTAAAAAATAGACGTACGTTTATAATATACAGGTTTAAACAAAAATATGTTTTTTACCATAAGTTTAAGACACTCTGTAGAATGGCAAAACCGCATGCATATTGTTCTAAATTAAGTTTTATTTATTAAGTCACATCTATTCTTAACAGTTTTGTTTTTGGTTCACCTCGATATATTTATTTTTGTGGAAAATATGGAGTTTTTAAAAAAACATTGCAATTTCCAATATTTTTTCTGTATGAAGAACTAAGGTTGCTATGGTCCATCCATAGGCTATGGAGGATGACAGTGACAGTTTTGTTAAATCCTCCCATACTTGGACATATCATACACGGCTTTCAAAAGCTATCAAATTGTTTTTTGTAAATTAATGTTTAAATTTTGAGGTGTCTTCTTACTAAAAAAAATGGATATGTCTCCGAATGATGTTGCCAGAGACATTAATTTAATCCAGGATGGACGGTCGCAGTACTACTTGGCAAGTGTTTTAAACTTTACGAGAAGTAAAGTACAAAGGGCAACATCATTCGGAGACATTTTTAAAAGTAAGAAGATACCTCAAAATTAACACATTAATTTACAAAAAACAATTTGATAGCTTTTGAAAGCTGTATATAACATGTCCAAGTATGGGATGATTCAACAAAACTGTCACTGGCATAGCCATAGCCTATGGATGCACCATAGCAAGCTTAGTTCTTCATACAGAAAAAATATTAGAAATTGCAATGTTTTTTTAAAAATCCATATTTTCCACAAAAATAAATATATCGAGGTGAACCAAAAACAAAACTGTTAAGAATAGACGTGACTTGATAAATAAAACTTAATTTAGAACAATATACGGTTTTGCCACTCTACAGAGTGTCTTAAACTTATGGTAAAAAACATCTTTTTGTTTAAACCTGTATATTATAAACATACGTGTATTTTTTAGTAATTTTTAAAATTTGAGCAATTCTCCATTAATGTATCTACAATATTCTTTAATATTTGTATAAATCCGAAATTAAATAAAAAAGTTATTTGCGATTGAAATTCATCGAAAATTTGTGTGGATCGATTATTCTGCTTGTGAGTGTATATTATGTAAATTTAAACAGTGAATCAATAATTTTGTCTGTTTTGTCAAAAATTAAACCATATTTCCTTTCAATTTTATTATTCGTTTAAGATAAAAACGCGTTAAAACCGATATATATATATAGTAAGTAGTAGAGAATATAAGCGATTATTTTTCCTATTTAATTCAGATTTTTCGAGTTTTACGACTTTTTTACAACGCTGTCGAAGATAAAACATACAAGTGTGAAAGTGTTATGCGTATTAGATTAGTTTTAGTATCGTCCTATACATTTAAAACCGCTTAAAAATAAAATGCCATAAAATTTGAGAACACACTATATTTATTAATTTAAGTATGCAAATTTCATCTGAATGATGTTTAATTTTTCTAATTTTAAATTAAATTTTTAATTTAATTATCAAAAACTAGAAATAAATGTTATCATTTTTACACAAATAATACTCTCTTTCATACTATTGACACCATTAACATTTATGTGTTGTTAACATTTAAACGGAGTATCCAAGTGAACAATAATTAATATTTGTAGTTTATTTCGGTAGCGCGAGAAAGAAAATGTAGCAACGTTATATTTTGTTCAAATATTTCGAGAACAAATTTGTGTTCCGAAAGTTTTAAAGCTCAAAGACAGTGGTGGCAGCTGACGAAACGTTTATTTTTATGGGCCGTTTAGATGGTATTTAAGTTGTGTACTGTACGTAGCAGATAAATATGTACCCGGCACGTAATTACCTACACCTTAAAATAAACATCTCTTGTCTTCCCGAGATCGGCAAATATTGAATTTAGACGTAGCGTCAGACAAAACAGTAAAAGAACAAAAAATGTGTAGTAGAAATCCCTTAATAAACAAAACTGTATCTGCTCTTGGTGTGCCTCAAGGAAGTATTATGGGCCCTCTTCTATGAATCATATTCATAAACAACTTTTAAATTTACCAATATCATTTTTAAATCATTATAATGTAAAATAAAGCAAATGTGATATTTTTCCTCTTATATCTCATGGCCTGCGCCATGTGATTTCTTCCGTCGGCAACCAGCCAACTAGTTTTACGAACGCTTATCACGTACCTATTAAGCATTACTCAATCTCTCTTATTAAAATAATAGGTATCACATGCAAAACTAATTGAGAATTCACAATTATATAGTTTTACAGAAATTACCACGGCAGCATATCTTATTAAGATGTAAGTTAATGGCTGTTTCACGTTTTTTCGTTTGGTCTTTTTAATTACGATTAATTTACTTACAAGGAGCCGCTAAGATATTAAACTCGTTTAAATTAAACGAATTATATTAAGTTTATGTTTTTGTAAGAAAAAGTTGATAAATTTGTTTGTTAGTACTTTTTAATTTGCGATTTTACTTCCTTAGAAAATGATCTCTTCAAAAAGCAATAAACCTCTATCGCATCTACACTGAGAGAAAAAATAAAATCAATAAATAATAAAATAATAAGTCAAAGTGATATTTGACTAATTGTCATAGCGAAAAAGTGGTCACTATAGTATTATAATAATTAGTCAAGTTGTACTAAATGAAATAGTCAAATTAGTAGATTTAAATTTAAAAAAAGTTCTGACCCAGACAGGGTTTGAACTCGACAATAATTTGTTTAACTCAACAATAATTTGTTGTTGGCCGCAAATGATTAAGGAAATTAGTTACTTTTAACTCTCAGAAATAGTCAAAAATGATTCAAATAGTAGAATTTTGACATTTTAAGAGAGTAAAACTACAAATTTTTTTATTTGAATAAAAAATTCCCGATTATTTAAATTAATATAATTTCCTATGCTTTTCATGACATGAGTGTAGTATGTGTAGAGAAGTGTCAAATTTCAAGAATGACTATTGATGAGCATATAAAGCGCAATAAATTTAGAAGCAAGGATGTTGTTTATAAAATAAACGTCGATTAAAAAAATATGTGGGATATATGCGTTTGACCCCAAACATACACATACATAAATAATAATAACATGTATATGCGTAAATAAGAGATATCAATGGATTTTAAAATCAATCATAAAAGATAAATTTTATTTTTAATTGTATTGTAAACACCCAATTTACTGACCTAATATTTTATTTACGAAAAAAGTACCAACTCATAAATTTGTTTGTGACAGTGAAAAAAATGATTTACTGTACTTTAATGTGCTTTTACTTTTCGACAATTTGTAAATATTTTTTATCCTGAATTCAATTGATGACCGCTGCAATATATTATTCCGTCCATTCATATTTTATTAAACTTATCTAATTTATGGACTAGAATTCAAATAAATTTTCTTTGATTTGTTTGTTCGCGATATTAAACGAACACCTGAATTACAATTTCAATTTCAAATTTCGATTTCATCATATGTTTTGATACAAAAGAGTGAACTCGCCTAGCAGTTGAACTTTGTTCGTTGCGTTTTTTAAATATCATGGCTCGACCATCTGCATTTCGAATGTTGTTGAATTCAAAGGAGCATCGTCTGTCTCCCAGACAACTGCAGAGCACAAGTGTGGCCACGGCTATCTGGATGCTTTGACCCGTAAATTATCGAGAGGATGGCACGCCATAAATAAATCGCTACATTTATGAATGTACTATTTGATAGACACCATTCATGATGTCGTTTTATTCGTACGAACGTCGTAAATGTTTTATATTCCCGTACGATTTGATTTATTTCGCGACACACCATCGCAATGTTCAATTATTAACAAATTAGACGTGATAATGCTTTTGTTTATCGAGCTTGAAAGTACCCAGTTAACAACAAAAAATCATCGCTCAATTGCCCATTATGATAACCACTAAAATTATCATAAAATTATTATAAACAAGACAAGTTTATTTTCTAGATATCTCCTTTCTGTAGCATTCTTGAAATTTGCAACTACTTTCCATAGAAAATGATCTCTATTGAAAGCAATAAACCAATTTAAAAAAACGCGACTCTTTATATCTAGTTTTAACAAAGTGACCCTCAGGGATCCAAACTTGGACCGTAGTTATTTTGAGAGGTATAAAGGACTTTGTAGTGAAAGAGTTTTGAGTGTCGGGGTTTTCAAATTTAACATTGTTTTTTTATTGTGTAGACTAATCAATTAATTTTTTTTCAGACACCCCCTCTTCCCCCTGTTGGCTTTAATTTTCGAAAAGTGCGAGCTGGCAACATGTACCCCGCGAGAGCCCGGCGTTGCCGGTGGTGACGTATGTTCGTCAGAATCGTTCAACGAAGACATCGCAGTGTTTTCGAAACAAGTAAGTTTTTTTTGTACGAAGGGTAGCGATTTATAAAAATCTGTACATTACGGTCGATGCCAACATGTTATTATATTTACATTTGATATCCCAACCGGCTTATCAGTTTGATTAGCTTATCACATTCAATAAACATAAAAACACATGTAAAACATCTATAGAATTTATATTATACTAAAATTTTACGATAAACGATACACGCGTTGAATTGCTTATTTTTGAGAGGCCACTTACCTACCTAACATATCTATATTTGCATTTACAAAAAAAAGTTGAAATTACTTTGTATGCTGGATCTCAACTATTATAGTAAATTTCAGTTTAATATTCCGCTGCATCATAGCAATATTTAAAATTCATAAAAGTACGCTGGTTGTTTATTCCTTAGTTGAATTTGCCACATTAACAAAATTATAAGTTTTACATTGCTTCAGAAAACTATACTGCCGTGCTTAATGAAAACGCCGTAACCAACAATTTTGAGATTTTTGTTTTACGGCATTTTCTACTAGAACAATTCATCCTGCGTCTATCCCCTGTACTCAAAAAACCGTATCTATATTTCATATATATTTTTGAGTACCGGGGATAGACGCAGGATGAATTTTTCTAGTAGAAAATGCCGTAAAACAAAAATCTCAAAATTGTTGGTTACGGCGTTTTCATTAAGCACGGCAGTATAATACTTACTTAAAATTAACTAAAAGGAACCCAAGCAGCATTGTAAGTGTAAATAACTACAAATTTACTACCAAGTCAACTTTAAAGTATTTTTTACGGTTAACCAAAACGGTTTTAGAACGGTATAGATACGAAAAATTAATAAAATGGTTTATTTCGTTATTTTACCTACATAATAACCTTTTTGTTCTACTAAGAGAATAACGTAATAAAAACAATATAAATACTACAAATTTACGTAAAAATAACGCTATAATTACTAACTGTTTGCTCTCTCTTTCTAAAACATTGTCAAATTGTCAAAACTAATAATATTTTGCTTTAAAACTCAAACGCACATTATTTTATTGATAAAAATAGGCACGATACATCTTCAAAATTATATGCCCTCTAAATATTTTACGGTTTTAAGAAAAATTATTGCTTGGGTAAAAATTCAACAAAACTTTAAACCTACAAAATTTTATAAAATCTTTTAGTTTTAATCATTTTTTAATAACTAAAACTTTCCTTGTTATATTTTAGAAAAATATATATGGAAAAATATTATATAAATGTTTAGATAAGTAATGGATGCCACTTAAAAATCTCATTATGGCGACCTGAAAAAAATATTTCCTTAAAGTTTTATTTTTCACTTTAAGCTTATTTTTTTTTGTTTAGTCAATATTAATAGTATTTATTACCACTAATAACCTTAAGAAATACCAGGCGAATAAGAATTACCTATTTAAGGTTATAAAGTGGTCTTAATATCGTAAAATTATGACTTATGAGTAATTTACCATTAAATAAAAATTCTGACGTTAAAATTACCGTTAAATTTTCCTTTAGGTGAAATAATAAGTGATTTTCTTTCGTAAAAATTACGTCCCTCATAATACTTTAAAATGTTGAAAATAAGTAAAAATAACATAAATAAAACTTATTAAATAACTTTAAAAAAGTTTTACTTCAAAGTAAATTTTTAAGGTTAATTTAAAAAATATTTACTTAAAATGCTGCTTGGGAATGATCTTTCTTTTTATTAGTTATCAGTTTTGGAGATCTAAAGAGTCCATTATCTAATAAACTTACCTGTTATATTATCATTTCCACTTATCAAAGGTCTCTATGCGTGATCGAAAAAAATGTTCTTCTAAGTGGTTTTCTTGACTTGGTCGGTACACCATGAGTGGCGGAAAAATGTTTCTGAGAATAAATTTTTCCAAGTTCAACCCCTTACAGCGGTAGAACAGTTTGCAAAACAAATTGCCCGAATGATAAATAATAATGAGAGTATTATCCTTTTGCGAATCACTTCCACCCCCTTCTAACTGAGTTTACTATGGCCACATAACCATTAAAGGGCCGTTTTCTGCAACTTTCTCGGCTTGCGGCTCGAGACGTTTGCTCCTCGACGAAGCACCTTTTCATGATTCTTTTTACGATTCTCGGAATATTTCCTATTACTTGTGAGCAATCTCTTAAAAATTATTCCTACCACCACTATTTCCTCAGCTAAGACTCATGGATGCATTAAAACAAGTTCATTACTATTTCCAAACTTCTAATTATTACATCCAACAACCATAAAGAAGACGGTATTCATTAATTTTTTTATTTGAATGTATAATGCAATATTTCTAGATTCGAGGACCCTTCACTGCTTGTTTATAGGCACCGGTTCGGAAAATCGGGGGTACGCGTTTGAATGTCGAATTCAACGAATGATAATGGAGAAATACATTTATAAATAAAGTTAGGCAAATTTACACGTTCAGCTGTTAGGAGTTTGTATGGGGGTACGTTTCCTGTTACAATAGGGTTTTTAAATAGCTCTTAACCCCTCTTATGTAGATCTATCCGAATTTGTTTTGATTTTGTCCGTAAAATAATGTCATAACGTTTCATGAGAATATTGTTTGGAAAGATATCAATTGGATTTAAAAATATGTTTGTGGAACACATGGTTAGCATTTAAATATAATCGCGTTGTTTAAGTTTTCTTAGTGGGTCTTTTAATGCGTGTTGGGCATCGAAGTTTAATTGTGTTGAGTCCGTGCCAAATTTCGAACAACACGGAAGTTGTTGTTGCGAATGAATAATACCTCTCCCTATTCGGTTAGGTTTGTTTAGTCTTAACTTAATAATAACACTCTGGGTAATATAAACAATTTTAATGGTCTATACGGTTTTATGTCTGGAATTAACAGTCGCACTTTGAGGATTGAGTGAAAAAATTCCAAATAGAGTTCACGCGTAATGAATATGTATATAAAACAATGAAGTGTAATAGAGTAGTTTTATATACATCAATAAAGTTTATTGTACATATCCCTCATTTTTTTTTTAAATTTATGGTGTCGTAAAAGTCTTTCAAACAATGCATTAAATAGCAATTTGTAGTTAAAAGTGTGTAAACTATTTTTATCACAAAATTACCCTTCGAAAAAAAAGGCAACGGTCCCTTTTGCCTTTTAAAATGGGCGTTACTACCAGGAAAGTTACTTAGCTTTCTTTTTCCAGTTATCGATGGCTTTGCGGCGATATTTTTAAGTCGGGACAGATGTATTTCTGAGAAACCCGGGATGGGGTAACACTCTCGGGTGCAGTGAACCTTCAAAACAGTTACAACCCCCTAAAACCGACCAAACCAAAAAGCATCATTCTCGAAAGGGACCTTGAACGTCTACCAAACTAAAAGGTTGCGACACATGCTTCGAAACTTGAGAATCAAATTCCACAGCAGACTATTTTAAATTCACTCTACGGCTTATTCCAAAATATTTTCGTTGAAAAAACGACTGGTAATATGACATGGGCAAGGCAAAAAAACAAAACCTGAAACTCAAGATACCGGGCTCGTTTAATTTAAGAAGATACATTTCGATACCGGATTATTCACGGCCCGAATCATCTCAGGAATACCTTCATACTTTTATTGAATTAGATGGGGAGAGTTTAATTATTCACAGATGACGTGATGTGTGAAAAAAGTGACAGATGCAACGAAACTGAATTTGATGCAATTCCATTCAGGTGACTTCCTTATTGTGATGCAGATGGCCCAGAATTGTCAGTTTGCTCAATCGTTTAACCTACAAGTGATGCGTGAATTTGAGCATTATTCACCGGCAGATCTGGCCCCCCCTCGCCGTGGCATTGTGTTCTAGATGCATGCCCGATAACTGCCGTGCTGTTATTGTTGGTAATTTTTTGGTCGCTCGAGTGCCGACGTCACAAAGTCTCCCGCTGCGTGGCAACGAAATGAGCATCGCTGTGCCCGTTAATCTCCACCTAGGTGGTGCCCATTGTAACTTGACTTTGCCACGATAATCCTTCACCATAAACCATTAGACAGGTAAATCGCCAATAAAGACCTCATATCTTGCCACCAAAGCTGCAATTAAATAAATACCTTCAAATCTTGGAAGACCTTTCCAATTAAATAAACAGGTAACAAGCCATCTTCTAAAATGTGCTGTATGCTTATTTTAATTAACAGGCACAAGATTTTTACGTTATAACCATGATTTATAGGTTTTCTCCACAATGCTGTTCTTCGGAAACATTGTTTCTTATTCTGTTGATTTGTCAATTTTGAAGGGCATTCTTTCTATGTTGGTATAGCATAGTATGAGCGTCTTTTTTTGTTTTTCACCGAAACTCCAAAATATTGTTCAAAATATCAAAAATAAAGTTTGATTGTACTTCCTTTTTCATTTTGAATTTTTCCCATTTTCAATCACTTTTTTTATTTCTATATCTACCGGGTTTTTATTGTGGTTTATTGTTACTTACAGAGTAGTTAACGCTTTTAAAAAAACAATTTTTTCTAACTCGATTCACCTTGATGGTATCAGCTATGAAAGTTTTTTTTTACTTTCTTTACATATTTTTGAAAATATTAAGAGAATGGTTTGTCTTACCAAGAAAATTTTAAAGGAAAAAGTTATAGAAAATCAAATTCTCTATAAAAAAGTTCTTATGTGTATATCGATCTTTTTCCTTTCTTTTTAAAATTAAGACAAGGTATTCACTTAAAATTTTCAAAAATAAGTAAAAAAATTCTTTCAGAGGTGAATCAAGTTAAAGAAAAAATCTAAAGGGCTCTTTTGAAAAGCGTTAAAAACTCTGTAAGTAACAATGAACCACAATATGATAGCTTAAAACCCGGAAATGATAAAGAAATTCAAAAAAGTGATTAAAAATATATCCTTTTTAAATGAGAAAAATTCAATATGAAAAAGGAAGCACTTAGAATCAAAATTAAGATCTCAAACTTTAAGGGAATTTTTTTCCGATGTTTTGAACAATATTTTGAAGTTTCGATGAAA